GTATAGATGTATATATATATATATATATATATATAGAAGCATATGTATTTCATATAAAAGCATATTATACTTTCTCTCACCTTCCTATGCCTTCTCCGTACTTGACGGTGCCGAAAATTATGGTGCCGGCTAATGCGTAAAAGAAGACAAGGAGAAACATGCCGAATATGATGAAGAAGCTCTTGCAAACGGACACACCGACCGTCAGCATTAGCATCTTGAGGGTGGTATGTTTGCCGGTGATGGTGAAGAACCTAAGGATCACAACCATAAATCCGATCACGTAGGACAGATCGTTCTGAAAGCAACACGGTGAATAATGACATCATGGGGCGACGAGTAGAGGGACGGAGGGAGGAAGAGTGCGATGACAGGCCTTCAACGACGAACGTACCTTCATCGTGCAGTGTACGATGATCCAGATAACGCCCACGACTGTCACGAGCAAATCATATCTGTTTCTTCTGGACTGCCAATAGCCACGTGGTGTAAAAGCAATGATTTTCATGACTACTTCCACGAGGAAGACCAGTGTCAGAATCGTGGAGACCGTAGCCAGAGCTTCCGTGTGTTGCTCCTCGATTCTCCACTTGAGACGAGCAAGATAAAAAAAAAAGAGGAGAGAAATTAAACACGAGCAAGCATGCCGCACTTACTTTTACCACGGTCTAATGGTAGCCGGCAAGGAACAAATGATTCAAGGGTAACAGTCTTCGTTACACTACTGCTTCTCTACGTGTGGCAACTTTTTTGTTTTCGGTTATCTTCTATTTTCGATCGGATTCGTCGCTTTGTCTTTTCGTGATGCTCGTTGTGTTGTGTTGTCCTACTAACATCGTTGTGTGCTTGCTCTATATATGGGATCACTAATCAATTCCTAAAGGCTAAAGTGTAGTAAAGTGTGTAGTTGTATAAAGCTACTTTTCTCCCAAGTTCGCGATTCCGCGTATAGTTGAAAAAAATTCTCATCTAGAATGTGCCGGATTTGTCTAATTTTAAGCATGCACGGTTATTTTCCTATATTTAATATACATGTACATTTCTACGACTAGATTATTATTGAAATACTATCGATAATGGAATATATAATTGTAGGAGATCTAAAAAATACCTATCCGGTGCCAAGTATCCGAGGATTATTTTATTCAACTCACAGAGACGCACAGTAGGGCGCTATTTATCAGCACCATCACGGCGATGAATCGTTTGAAATAAATGTTCTGTGTGATGTCGTAGATAAAAGCCCGAAACTTCTTGCCATCCGGTCTGGGCGGTAAGTGCAGTGGCTGGGCGATCTTCAAACGTTTCTTCAAGTCACACCTGCGTTTCAACAAGATTCATGTGAAGATTCGATCGATTCCCATCGCAACATTGAGAAAGTACAAAGTCTCACCATCGCCTCTGATCGACTGTGAGCAGAGCGGTGCCTTTGTTCTCAGAGTAATTCGCGATTACGACACCCACAAACAACGTCAAGCCGATCATGCAACCGAGGAAAATATAAATGTGTATGTAGATTGCGTGAATCTGAAGAAAAAACACGATGAGATATTGAAGGGTTACGTAATATGAAAGAAATTGTATTCTCGGGCCACAAAGTATACAATTTTTATGGCGCACGCTGGCGATTTTGTATTAAAATGTCGAAAAGGTAGCGACTCACAGGACCAAGAGACTTGATAAGAACATCCCGTACGTCAAGCCAGCCTTTGAAAGAAAGCACTTCAAACAGAGCCATCATCGCATCGCCAATATTGTCAAAGTTAAATCTTTTAGGGTTAGCCCTAAAACGCGTAATATTGCAAAATCAGTACGACGAAGAGAAATAGGATTGATCAACCGACTCACTCACCAAACGCGCGGTACTAATATGGACGGATAACTCTCGTTTTGCCCCGGGCGCAGTTTCATCTTCGTCACGAACACCCTCCTCATGAACACACCGACGCAGTCCTCGCGTTTCGTGACCGTCGGGTCATTGCATCTCGCTAATCGACCGCCGTATAGTTGCACGCCGTAACTCGCGAACACAAACATTAGCAGGATCAGTAACGTCGATACCTAAATGATAAAGCGTTCTGTCATTTTAGCTCCGCATCTCTCGCTTATTCCTCTCAAGCATTGTGCACGCGCAAAGCCACAGTTTGTTAATTGAAAACGTAAAACAGGAATGATATTCACCAGCAGAATTTCCTTGAATCCTCTGCAAAGCTCGTAAACGACTTTTCTCATATGTGGTACAAGAGTGAAGATTCTTAACGGTCTGACGCATCGTAATATCATCAACAGCTGCGCCCCAGAATTCGGTGGCACGCTTTTCGGCATCCAGCATAAAAACACGAGACTTACCTGTAACATGATGTACAGAAATCATTATTCATCATTATTACAATCATATTTTACGATAAAATAGAGTTCAATATTCGATATGTTGTACATACAATGTAAATAAAGACGTCCAATACAGAGGCGACATCCTTGATGTAGGCCTTGGGCGTGAAAAATAAGCCATCCGCCAGAATCTTGAGTGCCAGCTCAATACTCATACAGATAACGAAACAGTATTCGGTGATCTGTAGCGCCGGCACTTCCATTACGCGATATCGCGGCGTCTCGAACATCATCGAGATACACGACAGCGTCGTGATAAATATCATTATCCAGTCGAGATAGGTCACTAAACCGAGAAAATTGCTGAAAGAAAAGAAGAAAACGAAATTAATCCTAGATTTCTCGCTTCGCATCAATGTTTCGGAGACACTTCACTCCAGCAATGCTTACTGCAGACTCTTGTATTGCACTTTCCTCTCCTTGCCTGTTAAAGGATCCTTCAATCTCGCATCGTATCTTGCGTAGACGAATAACTGGCAATATTTCCGAAACTTACTCTCGCGAGGTACAGCGAACAGCGGCGTATCGAAAAACGGATGATTTTCTCGTAAATCATCTTCGCGTTGATTCCTGTTGAAGATAAAATAAAAAATGTAGGATCGCGAAGAAGCCGTAGCGTTTCTACAAGTTTTGTACCTTCGCATTTCCGCCTGCTGCCTCTTGGCTTGTAACAATTTGATATCTAAGTCGTGCGGCCTGCTGCGCGACGAACTGACTCTGTTTATTCCGCCTATATCACCGTTCTCCACAAGATGCTCGTACGTCTGTTTGAGCTTGATCGATCCGCTTCGAACACTCCTTCTAATTGATCTGTTTTCATCAAGTCAACCATAAGTAGATAGAAAAGACTATTGAGTATAAAAACGTAAAATGATCGGTTGGCATCATGAACATGTCAAGAACTGAAATGTTGAGAAACTTTAAAAAAAGAATTGTAATCTTATTGAAGCGTTGATTTACGCTATTTGTATATTTTGAAACCTATTTTCTTTAGATATTTTTATTAATAATCTTTCTCTACACCATTCTTACTTTTTTTGGTCGATGCGTAGCTGCTTGGCGCTGCTGACGGTACCCTGTGGTTTCAGAAGTCCTTTTCCTGGTACTGGGATCATAGCAGAGTCCCCCAAGAGAAGCCTCTGATTATTGGAATCACTGTAGACAGAGAAAAGTTTTACGTCGGACTGAAAATGGCAAAATGCAGGTCAAAACATCTTTACATCACTAGATTGAATAGTAAAAATTTTTGTACCAAAGTTAACTATGTTATTGATTCGTATTAGTTTTGAAATGTTTGCTCAAATTTGTATCGAATACTTTGGAAAATGAAATTAAACAGCGATGCAAAGTTTCACTTACTTTATGATGTAAATGACAGCCGCTTTCTTCAGATTAGTGACGACGCTTCTAACCTTCGGCGGATTGTTTAAGATTTTCACAGGACGTTGTTTTCTATACACTATTTTCGAATCAAAGGTCTCGTTAATCCTTTTGACGCCTTCATTTTCCTCATCTTCCACTTCCAGTACGAATTGTCGCATAAAGCTCTCGCGCACCTTAGAAAAGATAAATCGAGTATGTGGTTTAATTTGTTGAATAATAAAGCGCAACACGCGCTTTATCTTAAAGATCTATCTATCCATCAATTTATCTTCAACAAAATTGAAACTTTTCTCGAATAGATTTTATATTTAAATAAAGAAGAAAAATTAATATCAGTCGAAATTTATTAAAATTGTTAATGGCGGATCAGGGGGAAGCGATAATACTCGCTAAATTTCTACCTTTGGCAGATTGAAGTCCGATGGCACTTTATGAAGACACGTCATCTGCGGACTGTCCGGGAACTTCTCGAAGATCCTCAGTCTAAACGGCAGGCTCTCCTTTATCTCGGCGCTTTGTTCGCGAAATTTTAACTGTTTTAACTTTTTGATGTCCTCATCCAGCTCAAGATTGTCAAGGATCACCGCGACGAAGAGACTCAACACGATCTGAAGGAATAATTGAGAAACGTTAATTAATATTGTGACTTATTGCGAAAGAATAAAACGCGCGAAAAGTCTGACAATTACCAATGTGACGAAGAGATGATACAAAATGAAATATACTGCGACCAGAGGTGCCATTGTCTCATGAGTTCGCAGCATGGTCTCGTCCATGACGTCGACCCAGGCTTCTTGCGTGAGGATTTGAAACATTGACATGAACGCCTGAAAATTTACGCTTTAAAAATTCTGAGTGAGGACAATCCTACGGTGACGATTCGTCGAAAAGTGTAAGCAACTCACCTCGGGGAATGTTTCAAACTTGGTGAAATCGCAGAGAAAGCAGAAGAGCTGCATGGAAATGCTGGAAGATATCACCAGCAGGCACATGGTAAAGATAATGAGGCTGCCGAGCTTCTTGCCAGGGCCGAAAATCTTGTAAACAAAGTCCTCTAACATCGGTGACGCTTTAATAAGCCGGACTACTCTGAGAACCTTTTCGTAGAAAAGGAAAAATAAACACAACTTGAACTTTTACCGCTTCAATTTCGTGGATCGTTTTACAAGTATTAGCACTTGAAAGCTTAAAAATCGCATAAGCAGCGAATCTAAACAGTACAGATTCCTAGAAAAACGGAAGTAGAAAGAGATATATGAAAGTCAGATAAAAACCTGAAAGTAAGTGAATCCAGAGAGATAGAAGAACGGAATAATGTGTATAGTCGTGCCAATGGCAAGCAGCAGTTCGAACTTGTGAATCGAATGCTTATAGTAACTCCGGAAGCCCAGGCACCATATCTTGAACAGCGTCTCCAAGTCCAGCAGTATCGTGAAAACGATCTCGATCCAATAATAATTGTCGTAATACGTGTTCCTCGGTTTCTCATCATGTTTGAAGCACATCGTCGCAGTGGTGATACCATTTGCCAAAATGGCGCACATTACCACCATGCGGAACTGCGGCGACCTGAGGATAGACTGACAGATTGGGGAGGCTAGACCTCCGTGCTTATTCTCGTCTAATGGCACTAATTTCCAACCATTGTCATCCCCAATTAATATCTGCAATAGAAATTAATTGTTATTTAATGATTAACGAAACAAATATATATATATTTTTCAATCCATACATCGCAGAATCACACTTTCTTGTCTGTCTAGAATTAGCATTTGAACATTTTGAATGCTTTAGAACAAATTATAAGAAAGTGGAATGTATCTTTTCCGATATTTCAGCAGAATTATATAGCTAACCTGCGAAGCTGAACTGTTGCTAATGTGACCTCTGACTCCCCACATTTGCTGGAACTGCACCCGAATTTCGTTAAACGTCTCTGTGATAACAGCAATGAAGACATTCTTCACCAACCAGGCCAAGAAGAATATCATCGTGCTGAAGTAGAAAACCGCGCGCCACGCCGGTAGACTGTCGATCGCACGATACATAATGAACACCCATCCTTCCTGAGAGGCCGCTTGGTACACGGTGAAGATACTCGTGGCTAAACAGTCCAAATTCAAAGTCAACATAGATATTGCCAGGCAATTTTAATGCTTCAACTGTTTACGCTGAGGTAATTTTTTCAAAAACGAATTAAACTCTTAGATTATAAGGAATACATTTCAATAAAATTGCAAAAATTATGATCTCGAATGATTCTAAAACTGTTGTGCTATCAGGCTATATAAAAACATAGAACATAGGAAAATATAAGATATGTTAGAATTTGTGTGTTTTTTTTTAAGCTACATCTTTCAGCAAGTTATTTACTATTGCAAAATTTTGCGAGGAAACGAAAAACAGATTCGGAGCGCATGGGAACGACAGAGGGGGCGTAATAATATTAACTACTACCAAATTCGTCAAATCCATTGAAGCCTATGATATACTTGGACAACTCCAGCTTCATGCAGGACATTCCTTCAGGGCACTGGTATCCGGATTCTGGTTCAGTGGAGCAGAACGTGTCGGGAACAGCCAGGCTGTTGAGCGTGATATAACGCGACTTGGTCGAGTTCAACACACAGTGGTTTTTCAGCTCGCCAAAAAATTGCACACCCAAAAGACCGTAAAGGGACATGAAGAACAGGAAAAAAAGCGTTACGTTGTAGATTTGCTGGCTCGAGCGTCTAAATAGGGTGAATTCACAATTAGACGCTTTGTAATCAATTATTACGGAAATTAAACTAAGTTTATGAATTTATTGTTAATGCAGCTTATTGTGTTCTTAATTTTTTTATTAATTGTCAATTCGCGCGTAATATTCTCACTTGAAAATCTGGTTGATCCTGGCTTTGGGCATCGAAAACTTGAGGAAGACTCGGAGGAAGCGTATCATAATCAGCGGCCGCGGTGCTCGCATGACCGAGGCGTAACTAAACTTGACGAGGAAACCCAACATTTCGAACATTTGCATAATCACAGATATCCAGTGAAAGATCACCATACTCGCGTCGAATTGGCACCAATGGTCCTTTAGGTAAGACTTGTCCCTCTGCAACGCCATCAATAATTTTATTTTATTCTATATTTTACACAGCGATATATCTGAATATAAAAATAGAACTCTCCATTGATAATTCTACTATTTTTGCGGCAGAAGAGTTAAAGAATTTGAATCGTTCTTCAATGCGCTTGGATATTTTTAATCTTTACCTTCAATATCCCTCGTATGTGCATTTTGGCGATCATTTCGGCGGTGAACAGAAATGTGACTATTAGATCGCAAGTAAAGATAATATATTCAAGGTATGGTATTTTCTCAAAGGTTTTCGGGGTGTTTAAGCAAACGGAAGCCAACGAGACTAGGGCGCAAATTCGCATCAACCTCCTCACCCACAGCTGAAATCACGTAAAGCGGTATTCAGGAAAGATCTAAGAAAAGGAAACGGCATTTTCGGAATCTGCAATTTACATTTTCCGTTCAGTCTGTGCCGATGTTCGCTTACCTTGTTGACCCACTCTATATCAGCGCTCTCATTGAGGGACTCCTCCGGACCGTAATCGGCCAGGACGGGTTCCCCCTTGAGGCTCTGCTTCCTCCCCAGCATCATAATAGGAATTATGTTCGCAATGGTGAGGCCTAAAAACAGCAAATAAAAACTTTTATTCAAAAATATATATTTTTACGCTCGTCACTATCGCTATCCATAAACAATTATCAAAATAGATTATCAGTTGACAGAGTTATTGCATTTGTTCTTGTCATTTATATACTTGATATTATTTTAATTGTTTTAAAATATGTGCACTATTTGATTACATTAGTGATGCATTCTAGAATTTCTGATAGTTGGACCGTCTCAAAACCAGTGTATGTTGTTTTAACAACAAATTGTTTAATCAATTTGGAAACGAGTTTTCCTTAGAAAAAAGAGAAAAACTTGAAAAAAAAATAGACAGCAAAACTACATCGTTTAGTGAATTCACATAAAGATTTATTTCAATAGAATTTCAATTGAAAACTTGGTTGAAAAAAACATATAATGCAAAAAATTGGAAAATTGTAACGAAGAAAAATCGAATCTACATTAGCTAAAGAATCTGTCATTAAAAGAATATCTGATTCTCGGACAGTCTGTACAACAATAATAACAATTTATTAACATACTTGATTCAGTGACATACTTTACAGAGAAGCAATGTACACTATTGTATATAAGAGATCATTTACTTTTCAGATAATGCATAGGTCCGAGAAAGCCGATAATTTTGCAACGAAAAGAATAATAACCAAAGAAGAAACATAATCCGTTTGCAAACAGATCCTTTTCATATTTACGGAGATCGACATGTTGTTTGTGCATTGTTTAGGGGATTCACCTTTTTCTTAGCTGTTCACGGAACGACGAACGCTGCCTTTACGGCAATTTCTATAGACTACATCTCGGTATAAAGCAACGGTAAAGCTCAACGTGTAATAAACATCTCAGAGGTAATAACAAGCTGGCGATGTCGCGACGAACATGTTTCGGCCGTGTCGCCAGCGGTCCAGCACGGCCGAAAGTCTGAGCGAGCGGGCATGAGCAGTGCGCGCTCTCCGCCTCCCTCAAGAAAATCAATATTTCACTATTTCTAAGCGCGCAAATTCCCAGAAATCGAGATTGATAACGTAGTTATCTGCACAATTTTGTCTAATAAATATTTTCACTCAAACAAAAGATTCTTCAACACATTCATTGCCGCTAGACGATATTCGTCTGCGTTACTCTAACAACTCCTCGCGGAGCGAAAATATCGATCTTTTGACTTACAATTTGATGTAGAAATAATTTTCTCTCAACATATCTAAAAATTATATGAAATTAATATTATTTAATAATATATAATATATAATATTATATAATTTAATAAATAATATTATATTAAGTTGATTGCGTAATCGAAGGATTAAGTAAATGCAAAAAGATGGATGGAAAGACGATTTTCTTCTCTTTTTATTGTACAGAATATAAATATAATAGTATTAGAATATATAATTTTAATCTTTAATTAATAATTTCTTAGTTTCTTAATAAAAACATTATAGATACTTATTCACATAACTTTAATTATCTCTTTGTAAGGAAGTACCTGTATGTTTCTCTTTTTCATGTGTTACTTACATATATAACTCTGAGGCAGTTCAATTAGTTTTACGGTTACCATTGATTGATTCACCGTAATTGCGAATCAGATCTCTGCGAAGATTATTTTACGCATTCCTGTCCGCGGCATCCATTAGTTTCGAAAATGCGGAATTTGATTGGGAAAGAAGCGTGGCCGCTGCATCGAACTCGACAATTTTGCCGTCGCTCATAACGAGAATACGATCGCACGCAACAATCGTTTGCAGACGATGAGCGATCGTAAGCACGGTGCAATCCGCGAATTCATTCTGCAGGGTGTTCTGCACTGCCGCTTCGGTTTCCGGATCGACCGCGGCCGTGGCTTCATCCAGAATCAATACCTGACAAGTAACAAGTTAATTAAGTAAATGCGAAAAGACAATTCTTTCTTTTAAGAAAAACAATTTTTTATTTTTTATTTTTTAATTTTTTTTATAGAAAATAAACTAGTAATAGAACATATAATTTTAATTTTTAATTAATAATTTATTAATGTCTTGATTTTTTTAGTTGTTTAAAAAGATTTTGGAAATTGCTTCGACACAAAGTGCATCAGAAATCTCGAATATTTAGTAAGAGTATTACTTTAGTGCTGTGTAATAAAGCTCTCGTTAGACAAAGCAGCTGTCTTTCACCGACGCTTAAGTTATTGCCACCAAATCCAACGGAAGCATCAAGATTTCCCGGCATAATCGACACCTTGTTTTTCATCTGAGTCTTTTCAAGAGCGCTCCAAATATCCAAATCGGTGTGCCGATTAAAGGGGTCCAAATTCGATCTGCAAAACAAAGTGTTTGAAAAAAATGGACTGAATATCAGAAGTTGCCGATTAAATTCATTACCTTATGCTTCCACTGAATAAAATTGGATCTTGAGGAATGATAGACAGCCTACTTCTCAATGTATCCAACTCTAATTTTGAAATATCAACACCGTCGATTTTAATGATACCCTCGCAAATCTCGACCAATCGGAATAAAGCCACGACTACGGAGCTTTTGCCGGATCCCGTGCGACCCACGATACCTAAAATATTCATAGTTGATCTCTCGGAGAGAAAATTTAACGCAATCGCGCTATCGATCCTCTTTCGTATTCCTCCGTTACCTATTTTCTCCCCAGCTTTTATGTTAAACGAGACATCAATCAATACGAGCGGTAGTTCTTCTCTGTATCTCATTCGAACAGCTTTAAATTCTATTTTGCCACGAGAAGGCCAGTCATCCGCTGGTTTAACGGCGACCGTTTTGCTCGCGCCTTCTCTCTGCAAGGTCTGAAGGAAAAATGTAGATGACAAGATCAAGATAAAAATGTCCGTTGTAATATTATGTTATTATCAATTGGAAACCCCAAATTATTTACCTTGAGGTAGTAACTGATTCTTTCTACGCTTATAAAGCGCACCTCTGTCTCAGACATCAGTCTGACCGTATATTGAAAAACGCCGGTCATCTGTGTAGCGTACGCCATAGCCAGACCGGCAAAGGCGGGTGATAATTCGTTCTTAAACGAAATAACAAGTAACGCGGTTATGCAGGATGAGGCGATCACCAATGTGTCCAACCTCACGGCAGACCATCTCATCGCCGCTTGACACAGGTACTGGCACAAGTTGTTCGCATTGAATAACTCTTCGAATCTTAGAAAGAATTCACACAATCGCTACATTTTTCATTGCCCGATTAATGAATTTTATTTTATTATTATATATTTATCCGTTCCTTATTATCTCAACTAATTATTATCACCGAGGTGGCTGTTCACACAACGTATTTTATTAAATAATTACCTGTATATGAAATTTTTCTCCTTTTGGAATGCGTGAATCGTGTTCAAACCTTGGATTGTTGTCGTGACAAAACTTAAAACTGGAGACCGCGAGACGCTTTCCATTCTCTTTAAGTCCCTCATGCCTATTCTGCAAAGACACGAGATGAAACTAACAATTGCTATCGCCTCTCGCATATACAACTTGCACAATAAGATAATATTTACCTGAACATTTTGCTAACAAAGAAGAACAATGCGCCGAATAGAAATAACGGTATGGAAAACCAGGGCAATATGCCGCAAATAAAGAAAATAGCAAAACTACATGTAAAAATATTTTGCACCATGTTTTCTATCGAGATGGGTAAATAATTATCAACTGTAAATCAACAGGAAGCATTAATCAAATTAGATGGTACGTTTTGATTTCGCGACATCGTACGTTCGGTATCACATGAGAAAACTCACTCTCGTCTATGTCTCGACTGAAAACATTTTGTATTCTGCCGCTCGGAGTGGTCTCGAAGAACTTCAACGGGGAATTGATGACCTTGTGAAGAAACGTGTTGTGCAATGTGGTCGAGGCTTTTATCGTGGCAAACATGATGACCACGCCACGAATAAAACTTGTTAATAATATACCGGCGATGCACGCGCCGTATACGTTTTGATAATACGAGAAGTTAGGATTGGCGTTTATGTTCTCCGAGTATACGGTATCGTTACTTCCCGGCACAGTCACATTCTGAAAAATTAAATGAAACTTATACGCTCGTAACAAGAATTAATATGAAAAGTAAGCATAGTAATTACTCTCTCTCTCTCTCTCTCTCTCTCTCTGAGATATTTCTTAATCAAAAATATATCTCAATATATGCGCTACTTACGCCGCCGCCAGCCTTGATCCACACGGCGAGCCACCAGGTGCTAAACGCTGAGCTGCCTACGTTCAAAAAGAACGTAAAGAACACGAGAATCGCGACTAAATAACCACCTGTGGCTTGTACATACGTATGATAAGTGTGCGACTTGACAGCTCCGGTTTCAGCTTTTTCGGCCACTGTTAAAGTTGCAACTAAATCGAAAAAAAGAATATGATATTCAAGAATATTACGAGATTGGAAATTGATAATTACGCACGCGCGCACCTTTGTACGACTTTTCCTTTCCGTAGTTTTTTTTCTCTCCAGGCTCAGTCTTTTGCGAGTTTGATTCATCGATACTGATGTTTTTCTGCATTGTTCCAGTAGATTTTCCACTACGAGGAAATCAAGATTTACTTTTTGATAATTCGAATACATACGCGACAGATGTTAAACATACGCTGGCAAGTTGTCTTCCGCTGCAACCGTGCCGCTCTTCACCATCGATGCATATTCCCTGTCGAGTCGCATAAGCTCCTCGTGGGTTCCATTCTCCACAATCTTGCCCTCGCTCATCATATAGATCTCGTCGCAACACTTCAAAAACTGCAATAAACAAACTTGGAATAGTTTCGCGCAAAATTTCGACAAGTGTCAGTTGTCCAAAGTCAAGGCATTAATTTTTGTTCAATTTCTTTTATTCGATAAAAAAAATATAACATTTCTCATAAATCAGATTGCATATTATAAACGTTGCTCGCAGTATTAATAATGAATTAAATACGCACCTGGATATTATGTGTCACAAATAGAACAGACTTGTTCCCAAGAGCCTCGACGATCAATTTCTGAAATATATACGAGCCGACGTATGGATCGACCGCACTCAAAGGATCATCGAGGAAGTAAACGTCCCTGCAATAAAAAAATCGCAACATTCATTACTTTGAATGATGCGATCAATATACTGATCGATAAAAAAAAAGCAACAAAAAAGTGTTCATACCGATTGGCGTAATACGCTCGTGCCAGCGCGACTCTCTGCTTCTGCCCGCCGGACAGATTGATTCCTCTCTCGCCGATTTCAGTGTCGTCGCCGCCGGGCAGCATGTTCAGATCCTCCTTCAAGTCGCAAATCGTGATCGCGTGATAGTAACGCTTGGCATCGAACTCCTCGCCGAACAGGACGTTTTCCTTGAAGGTGCCGCTGACGATCCACGCCTGTTGACTAACGTAGGCGCAGGTGCCCTCCCGCAGGATGTGTCCCTTCGTCATCTTGAGTTGTCCCAGAGCCGCCAGCAGCAGGCTGGACTTGCCGCTGCCCACGTGACCGCAGATTCCGACCAGCTTTCCCTTGGGCGCTCCGAAATGAATATCGCTGAGAACCTCGACGTGTTTGGCTTGTTGAGTCGATTGATTCAGGCTCTCCAGTTCCAGCGGATTGTCCGTGGCCGGCGTCGATTTTTTCCTTCGGACAAAAGGGAAGAAGATGACTGTTACAGTCTCCCCAGAAATAAGATTGTTACGAATCAAATATTTACTTCTTGTCGTTAGTCGACGCGTCCGTTTGAAGCTTCACGCTGTCGCAAACAAAAGTACCGTTGGCGATGGCAACCGCTTGCGATCTCACAATCGGCTTCGATACTTGATTATTGCACTCGTCCAGCAGCAACACGCTCTGTGCAAATATCGTCTCGTTAGTGGAATTATCTATACGGCGGGTCCTCGAAGAAATGCAAAGCAATAGTACAGCATCTTGAAAGAGTAAAAGAGCATTAATACGCAAAAATGCAATTTGGAGAAATAAGATAGCGTATCAGAGTAAGGCTAATATGAGATGTATGAATTAATTTCTGAAACTAGAAATAAAAATTGTAAATATGTCTACATTTGCTCTTTAACTCCATGAAGTTACATTATCTCTACATAATTGTTACATGATACAAACACATGCAAAGCGAAAGTTATAACGTAAATGCTTGATACAGGAAGCGTTTGCAACAGAATGAAAGCAGATTATTCGGTCACATCACAAAGGATGAAAACGTTAATTGTACAGAAAGTGTTATAGCGTAAAATGAATATGCCGTAATTGTGCATTCCCATTATTTTATATATATATATAAATAAGAATAAACACCTTTATTCTGCCAAAAGTTATCTTTACTGCAGTGATATTAACTAAGGCCACTTGCAAAAACATGAAAGAGGTACGAATTTGAGCATTGAGTACCGATACGAAGGGAAACACCTGAAAAGTAATGTACAGTAAAATTAAAACAACTATTGTTAGTACGATCGTTACGGTACTACGTGTAAAAGCACGGGAATATTGTAACATTATCCTCGATTATTATTTGCAACCACGGTTTACGTATCTCGTGTACCAAAAGGATCGTTAAAAGCTGTTTTGGCATAGCAGAGTGCTTTACAAGGCATGCAGTGTTCGCCCATCACTTTTTACTCTCGTTTTACAGCTTCGAAAGCTCGACCTTTTTACATTACAACATTTATATTTCGCGTACATATTATTACAGAAAGGATGCCCGTGCTGTTTTCTTTCACTCCTTTCAAGGATGATTCCATTAAAATTATGTTGCAATTATTAAACATATTTTAATCGACTTGATATTCAATTTTAAAGAAATAAACAAATATTAATCTTGATAAAGAAATATACATGTGGATGAGATAATAAAATATATAATAATTCACGAGATTGGATTTGTCGAGCACGAGTGCTAGTTTCCTAATAATAGGTACGAATATCCAACCTCCTTAAGCTTTATATGAAATCAATCAAAAAACACTGAAAACCTTGAATCTTCTAAGAGCTATGAGAGCGCTGATAAAATATCGTGTGGTATCCTTAAGTGACGTAAGCGCCAGTCTAAGCAAATTTCCGAATAATGTGGTCATTGGGAAAGCCTGTAATGTATAATCCATTAAGTGCAACACTGATTATAAAACTCAGGGAAGGACTATCTCTCTCTCTCTCTTTCTCTTGCAACTAGGATTACAAATATTTATTTAGAATTATAAACATTAAAAAAAGTACTCGTCTATTCTCTTCAAGCAATTTATTATCTCGTCAAATTGCTTACCTATTGATGTTATTGAATTTCTCCTGACACACATAAAATTAAAATATTTATAAAAGTATCATGGATTTGGAATTGATTCAAAGATCGTTTTGATGAATTGCATTTTACCTGAGCGGCCGTTAATCCACTGCCAGAGGCGACATGCGCTAAGAACGTAATGATTGCGGATATCACAGGTATAGCAGGTGTTAAAGAAATGCTGAGGCTTTGAAAATACGCAGTCTGATGAAGCCAATGTTCTTCCTTCTTACGTATGGCTGTAAAAGCGCATTTAAAATCCATTTCGTGTACACTTTTATAATTAAAAAGATATTTAAATAAAAGATATAAAATAAATATTAATATAAATAAATAAAAAATATATAAAAATCCAAATAATTATACAACCGTACTATATAAAGTGTATCAAATTTATTTAAAATAAATTGAATTCTTTTATCACATACGGAGTTATTCTTACCGAGAAGTTTCTGGCTAAAGTGTTTCTCCCAGGAATACATCTTGATCAATTTAATGCATTCTAGAATTTCATTCATGAGCCGCACCCGAGCATCCGTGATAGTTACAGATTTCGAGCGGAAGTATCCGGTCGCGCGGGAGATCAAGTACTGCAAATGTGAATATCTCCATTCGCTGAAATGCGTAACGCGTGTGTACAATGTACGAATCGACTTACCTGGCACGGGTAAAACGAGAGGAAGGCTATCATTCCTACTAAAGCGATGGGACTGAACAACGACAATATGTAAATTATACCAAAACTTATGACTATCGGCCCGCTGATAATCATCGGCCCGTAAATGATGACATCAAAAAGTCTTTGACTGTCATTGCAGAATAAATTGATCACCTAGAAATAAGAGGCACAGATATATATCATGCGTCAAGAAAGCATTTTTCTTCGTAAGAGAAATTTCGAATCAATTAAATATCTCACTTCTCCTGTACTTTTATTGCCGAGACTGTTCAGTCTAATAATCTTTTTGTACAACAGAGCTGTACAAGCTGACTTCAGTCGTAATCCAGTTTTGTAATTCATATTCCATGTCCAGGTGAAAAAGAATGCACGCAGGGAATCACACAGTGTCAGCAGCGCGACCCATTTGAATCCATCCCAAAAGTCCTCCTCTGGAGACTGTACGTGCTCCAGTATCTTCCTCATTAATATCGTCTAAGCAAGAGAAATTTCTGCATTGCGATGCAAGTACGAATTCAGTTTAATAAGGATGCGTTAACAAGGATGATCTTACAGGGCTTATAAATCCGAAGATAAGAGAACAACTCAATAAAAGGCATGATATAAAAACTCTTGTGCGCACAAATCTCCATGCAACCATGGAAAAGGACGCTGCGTTGGGACCGTTTTTACTTAACTCCTGTTGCCAGAGTACATCGAGTCTGAAAGTTTAACTCTTATATACACACTATAATTCAAAAGAGACATAATGATACATTATGCCTACCTGAGTGCGTTGTACTCGCAGGTATCATACACTGAAATGTTCGGTAAGTCTTTTATCGTGAGTCCTTTCTTATAAGCTTTACGTAAATACGGTGTCATCCATGTTATATACACGTAAGAAAATAATCCTGCATTATCCGCTGGTGAATTCTCTTTTTTCCTGTAAAATTGTTATTGTGTAACGCAAATTTATGCAACTAATAGGGCAAAATACAAATATCAATTGCACTATGACAGCAGATTCTGCATTTGTTGATTGATAAAACATTTTTGACAGAAAACAAAGGCTCATTCTCTTTTCTGCTCCTTTCCCTTATCTCCCATCCTATGATAACTCTAAGTAAACAAAATACAGAATCTGTTGTCTACACAATTGATGTTCATGGTTTTCCAGAAATAGGCCAGCATTTGCGCAGCTTTGGCATATAATGCATCTTATTAATATGTTTTTTAGATTGTTATCAAACATTACTTAAAATTTCTAATTAAAATGTCAAATCTTGATACATACTCCTTTTGATATCGTACTGGTATCAAGTTGCTCAGGGCGTTATTATATTTTTTTATGCCAGACCTTGGAACATATTCTCTAATTTGTCTGGCTGTACTTCCGCTCGCTTTTGGTAGCAGGGATTGCTGTTGCCTATCAAGTTCCAAAGATCTAATAAAATATTGAGAATAATTGTCACATCTTTTATGTTAATTCAAACAGTTAAATTTAAATGTTCTATCAATTCTCTTTTTCTCAAAGTACAGAAGAGATAATTTATATTATCACAATGACTGCATACCTTTCATTATGTGATTGTGTATTATTTTCAGCCGGCTTGTCATTACTATTCTTGCCTTTTGTCGTTTGGTCCATTTTCACAGGATATGCCAAGTTTACCTTAATTATTAATTCAAAGAATTAGAAAATTGTCCTTCAAATAACAATCATGATTACATTTGAGGAGCAAAAAGATAAGAATGTAATCATCGCGAGCTATCACGCGATAAAACTAAAACCATATAAAGATAATGTTACAAAAAATGCACTGCCAATTCAATTCAGATATATTAAAATAGAAATAGAAATGTACTTCCAATAACAATGAGAGATATACACAACACAATTGATATTTTATTCTTCATAATATTTTGCACAGATTTTTATGAATGAATGCCAAGTGTAAGTAAAAAATAGCCAATATTTTTTCGTTTACAATATCGCTTTTGCTCACCTTCGATAGAACAAGCGATCTACCACGATACTCTTGTTCACAACGAGAAATAATCACCGGCTACATTGGCGTGACACTGATAAGAGCTTAATCTCTCGGCATCATTAATAATGTGCGGGAGAGAGGTGCGTATTTTTTGAATTTCCGCTTATCGCGCGCAACCAGAGAGGAGGGGAGCGTACAATGATGCGCCGTGCACATGGCACATATACCTTTCTCTTCCCGAATTAGAGCTGAATCCAAGCTGTGGAGGAGCGAAACACAAACAATTCGACACCTGTTAACAGCAGTGACAATATTTGACAGCAGCACCGAAATAGATATATTCTATAGTACACAAATCCCGATGTCTTTTGCGCGCAAAAATGATACGTTTTCCTGACCTTTTTTGGAGATTGCGGTTAGAGATGTAAGCGTCCTTGTTTATTGTCGACAGCGTCGACAATAAAATTCACGAGAAATTATATACCAGTTCCTTTCGATGTTTACGGTTGAAAGTGTCGCTTGAGGTAGATTCCAGGCAGATGCCGTCGAACGTCCAAAATAAAATGAGGTAATAGAGTTATTAATGTAACCGTCGCTCGCGTTCATCGCGTTTCTCGGCGAGCATCGTTATGTTTGTACTTCTAATCTAAACTTCGCTTTACTGAACTTCAATTGTTTCCTGAACAACGTGCTTCCCTTGGAAGATTACAAGGAAATCTGCGTGCATTGTTTACTTAATGAAGCGTGCGTGATTGGACGTGATGTATACGGCGTATTGCGTTGCATGACTTGACCGCGACTATATAAAGGGTGTTCGAAAAGATTATAAACATCCACGATCCTTGAGTTTCATGTCTAAATGCTTATACAGTTCTGTAAAGTTGATGTAAACAGATGAGTTCTGCAGTAAATGAATTTTCCGAATAAATAAATGGATTCTTAAATGAATCTTTGAATAGATTGGTTTTCCAGATATGAATATATGGATTTTTGAATGGGTAGGTTAGGTTCTTCTATGAATGGGAAATATTGGATGAATGCAGAGCATTGAATGTAGTGAAGTATATGAATGTATGCGAAGTTTGACAAGATAGAGTTTTGTTTGGTTTTACTAATCTTTCCTACGTCATCTGTCAATTTCCAAGATTGTTGTAAATAATTTTAAGGATATTAAATAATCTAAATGTGTAACAACACAAATGTAAATAAATGAATTTCTTTAATAAAAAAACAGCCAATCAAATGTTAGCAGTAGCCTACTCAAATTTGAATGTGATATTTAATAAATTATTTATATTTGTGTTGTTTTAAAGAATTACAACTGATTTTACATATTTTATCTTGTCATTTCACTCTTTTTTTTATTCAAATCTTGGAGAATATAAACCAAAGCTAGCTTATACTTTAAGATGTACACAACACATCGACACTTGCCAGCAGGCATCCTTACAAGTCAATGATACCTAAATATAGCAATAAAAACTATAGAATTCTTATTCCACAAGGCTACAATAAGTCATATATAATACATCGCGTTATGATAAAGATGAGTGTGAGTGAATTTCCTGATTTTGCATCCTGCAATATTGTAAATTTTTTAAAGTGCAATCGCGAACTATTAGTCAGTCGTGTATATTACAATTGTGTATCTTGCGCTTCAAAGCTCGTCGCTATGTTTCGACGCATATTACTGACAAAGATCACATCTAACTTCGCGCCAAAGCCGTTACAAACACTGTAACATGTCTACGTATTATTATAAAGTTATCATTCTAACTATTCGACATTACATTAGAGCAGATATCGTGTGCATCGTCATGAAAAGTAAGAAATACTTTTCTTGTGTTTAATCTAATATTGCCAAAATAAAAGTAAGTCACCCTCAATTCTCTTTAGTATTTTGTTTCGACGACGTACGATTGTCTATTGGCATCGCGCAAACAAAAAAAAAGAAAAAAAATTTTAGATTTTCGAGAATAAGGCGAAACTTGTCATTTTTCCGCCCTTACGTTCTCCTTCTGTTTAAATTATATACTTTATATGAATTAAATATTTTATGTATCATCGAAAGAGAGAAAAAAAGAAAATAAGCAAATACTTACGCGCTATCGATTTGGCTTACGATTAATATCTAATATGTATAATTGAAAACTATCGAAAAAAAGAAAAAAAAGACTAATCATATTGCATCAATGTGATATAGAAGATGTGTAGTATCACCAATCACTTTGATTCTTTGAATGTTTATAATTATCGTTTAGCGTTAGAAACGCATCGCCTGATCTCAAAAACTATTGTAATTGTTGCCACCCAATTGCGAGTTGAAGCCTCTGTTGTTTGGCGAGTATCCTGGCCTGAAGTTGTTACCTAAACCTGTGGATAAACAACGGACTTGTGTGATTAACGCAAACTTTTACGTCTATCAAAAATACGTTTCGAATACTAAAAATATCTATTTAAATTTTAATAACAAGATTATTATTGTTCAGGCTTTTGTTAATTAATTATCACAGGGTTTGACATTTTTGAAACTTGTTAAAATGTCCATCTTCCATGTCAATTAAAATTTCTTAATACAATTTTGCGGTGTACCTCCGCAGAAATTGCCGATGCCACTTAATGACATATTACTCGATCCGCCAGTCGAATTTAAAAACAGCTCAATGTATCTGTGTGACATGTGGCTTTTGTCCTACAAAAAAAAAATTAAGATTGAGTTACATACACAAGATGATATTGTATGGAAATTATTTTGTCTAACAGATTTAGCAAAAATTTATTTTGATTTAAAACAATGAAAAAATAAAACAAGATAAACCTTGCACATTGCTTTTACGGCTTCCTCATGAGTTGCGAATTCCACGTCAGCTTCTCCCGATGGACGACCGCCATTCTCAAGGATAATGCGGACATTCACTGGTTCGATTGGTCTAAAGAACTATAAAACAATATTCAAAGTTAAATATTGCAAAAAAATCTCTTCAAGTATTAACAAATATTAATAATAATACTAAGGCTCCATTGAATTAACAATTAATATTAAAAGAAAAAGGCGAAAAGAGCCGTTGCTAGTTGTTTGTGCAATATATTAGATTAAACATGTCCAAACATGTCCAAACGCCGGTTCCGGAGCCAAAGTGGAGAGCGAGAATTTCCCCCTCTCCAGATGCTCGCCGCTCGACTGTCAGCGCGAGGTGCAGTGCGGGGAAAATAGCCGCCAATCCCTACTATCGAAGTCTCGTGTTCCTCCCTTGCACCTCACTAACAAGTGAAAAACCTGATCGAACAGTGAAGGAGTATAGAGTAACCAGAAACTGTTCTTACCTTTGTATTAAACTGGATGATCTGTTTATAAACATAACTATTTCTTTGCACGGTAGTCGGAGCGTATGTCGTGACTAGTGTGGGGAGCGCTGAGAGGGATATGATGTCTCGCGCGACGTCGGAGAAAGGGAAGGCGTTACTCTAGCGTCCTAGCGTTACTCCCCAGGCGTTGGACATGTCTGTATTAGATTATAAAATAACAAAGACAAACGTTTCTGCCTATGTTAGGCTTTCATCAGTGTCAGTGGCTTTCTTCAGTTTTAATCATGGATCCTACGATTTTTAAGAAACTCTCCATGCATTATGAAGGCATTTTGTCTAATAATTTTGGTCTCCAAACTCTTCCAGTTCTGTTTCGGTTTAAAAACAATGCCAATTAACAATCTTGCTATATAGAAAAGTTTTCGTTGAAATTATTTGTCATCAAGAACATCTTGCGTATATCGTCTTATTTATTTGTATGGCGCTTCGACACTTGTGAAGCCGTTTATTATGATTTTTATTTGTAACGACACTGATGAAAGACCTAACATAGGCAGAAACATTTGTCTCTGTAATTTTATAATATAATATATTGCACGAACAACTAGCAACGGCTCTTTTCGCCTTTTTCTCCTAATATTAATTCTTCAAGTGTAATTTATTATTAATTATTGAAATTACATCAGCTATGTCTTGTTCCGTTGCCTTGAACGGCAATCCTCGCATATGGATACTGTGAACGCCGGAATTACCGCCCCAGGAGTCATTGTTCCCTCTGTAATTGCCACCTTTCATGTCCATGCCACCGCGCATTCCCATATTGCCGCCACGAGATCCATAATTATTTCCACTTCCCCACGGGCCGTTGTCGAAGTCTGAAATGGATCGAAATTCTACAGTGAAGTCTAAAGTAGATTGTAAGGTCTACGGTGTATTTCAGACAATTAGATATATAAATAAATACATACGTAACAAATTAGAACGTGAATTGTATAATAATTCTTTATTACGGTTTGCTCTTGCAAGATAGTCTCCAAACTTCGATACATGACGAAAGGAATCACCTCTGTTTCTCGATCCTCTGCCATTGTTGCTGAAGCGATTCATCCCGCCAAAGCGATCGCCACGAGTGTACGGCGCGGGTCTCTGATTAAAGCCGCCCATGGGACCGCCGCGCATTTTAGGCCCAATGCTGGCGCGTACCTCAGACAAGCTGCTTCGGAAGATCTCGATATATCTGTTAATGATTGAAGACGGCACACGTTAGAGATGTGCAGAGTAACGCAACAGCAGATAAATAATATCGTCATCCTCATTATTATTTATTATTTATTATTATTTATTATTATTATTATTATTATTCTCACCATACACTGCCACCAAATTAAAAATTTGACAAGATTTAACAAGTACTTAAATTTGAGAGATCACAAATGGTGAGAAACAAGAAACAAAATAAAACAGTGATACACAGTATCTAGAAACAAAGAGTGGAGAAAGGAGCCATTCCTGCACAGCAGTGGTGAGATTAATTGTCTTAATGTTTACAGAAAAAAGAATAGAAAAAACCGGAAAGTCGTGAAAAATGGTACTTTAGCATTGAAGTTGAGTTTACCGTGTGACAGAACAACTGTGTTGCATACTAAACCTCCGCATTCTTTATTAAACCTGTGAAGAGAAAGAGAGAGAGAGAAAGAGAGGAGGGGAGAGAGAGAGACCCTCCCACGATGAAATCCCGACGTATCTACGTCACACGTACCCCACGAGCCCATGCGACGCCGACGATCTTCAGGCAAGTCGCGCGCTCACAATTGCACCTTTTCCAGATAAATAATTCTATCGACGTAGAAAAAAAAAAACGTACAAGTTCGTAATCTACAATTGTTTATATACAAACACAGAAAACGCAGATGCGTCGAGATATATCGAAGTTTTCTCACGCTATAATAAAACATTCCCGATAAATTTGTGGGATAAGTTTCATGTTCCAAATCCAATGTTTATCCGTGGAAAAAGTGCAATTACTCGCGTCGCATAGATGTGCCTTATTGAATCGCTGGTTACTATCTCCCTGTAGCACCCACCGAGCTTTGGCTTGCCCTACCCACCTCCCATGGGATTTGGTGTTGATGGTAAGGGGCTACTTCCCGCCCCCCAGCACCCACCCACGGATATAAGTTGGGTCCACAGTACTTTCGCTTACGTACGACTATCTGCTTGTAATTGTGTTTTGAAAGAGGCAGTTTCTTTATGTGTTGTATAAGAAAAAAAAATTCTTCAAATATCTTACTCTGAGAGAATTCATTCGAGTAAATATATTCCAGATAATAAATATATTAACTTGAAAACTTCCATGAATCTCTCATCTTTCTATACAGCAAAATTTATTCAAAGCAGTTTGTCATCAAACTCTCAAAATGTGCGAATACAAATGTTAAATACTTTAATAACAGCATGAATATATTTCTTCTATTTTTGTTTCTTTTTTTTTTCAGTTAAAAAATTGAATATAAAGAAGCTGCATCCATATGAAAAAATTCGTTCCCACTATTTACTAAACGAAATGTATATACCTACATGTACTACGATCATTAATATAAATGATATGGATAAATCATAATTATATACCCAAAACCCAGCTATAGCGTGAGTCCCACGCTATCTTAGAGCCCCACCTGTGTCCTATCTTTTCCTTGTGTTTCTGCAGAGCGCGCTCCGCAACATCTTTGTTAACAAATTGAACGTAAGCCTCCCCAGTACTGCGGCCCGTGTAGTCTGTCGGTAGCGATATCCCGTTCGGCAATATCTCCAACCCTGACCCACACATAATCAAACATCGACATTGTAGCTTAGACACCCATTAGAAGAAAGAAGTTATGATCAAGTTTATTAAAACCCTTACAAAAGAATCAAGATTGTTAACTTTAGAATCGCGCGTAAACGCACGCATTTTACTCTTTTCATACTTCTTCTTGTATAGACAGAATGGTAAATTACCGCGGCCGAAACCAAAGTTAAGAATTAAGCTTAATCACCAAAGTCGCGCAACAAAAATACTTTCATTCTGTTTAGTAAATCATAAAATAATAATCCATGATGCACATGCTCGCACGACTCAATTCTTTGCGAGATCTTAAATCTTAACTGAGGCTAACCATCGATGCTGGAACACAAAGACGTCGCTCTGGATGATTTTAGTCAATTGTTCAACTTTTAGTAGACCATTTTAGAATAGATGTAACATTATTTCAGAGCATTGTTTTGTGAGAACGCGTTAATGTCAGATAATAACTTGAGAACGCGTTAATGTCAGATAATAACTTTGCACAAAATCATCTAAAGTATTTCGTCACTGTGTTCTCAAAATAATCGTCAAATTTTGTGTCTATTTATTTTTATTTTAAAAGGGGAGTACGAGAAAAAGAAAGCTACATATTTGAAAAAGATGAACAAGGTGTCTGTCTCGAGGATTAAATAAAATCTCAATGATATTCGGTATCAATTAATAAGCATTGACATTGGGAAGCCCTGATCATTGTATAATAAATACCTGAAAAGAATTGTGCAATTTCCTCTTTTGAGCAGCCAAATGGCAGACCGCGTAATCTCACGCAACCGTCGTCCATCGCATTTTCCAAATTAAGACCGCTCCTCTTCACAACCCATTCCATCTCTCCGCGTTTTGCTTTAAAAACTGAAACAGCGATAATAACGGATAATTATAATAAAGTTAAAAATAAAACAAAAATGGATCAGATAAAAAGAAATAGAATAAAAAATTGTATTATTTTTCTGCAGGTTATATTTATTAACTTGTTAATATTTTTGAACCCGTTTTTCTATTTTCTTTATAAATAAAAAATGTAAAATTTAGTCTAAAAAAAATATAAATAAATCATATATAAAAAAATTATGGTTGTATTTAAAAAATTAAAGTAAAATTAATATTAATAACAATAACCTTCAATATAACGATGACCCATGTGATCTCTGTCTCTTTTGCAAGCCTTCTCAATATCCTCTGGTGTATCCATTTCCACATAAGCTTCGCCACTGGGACGTCCTTCCCGGGACATAGTCATGTGAACACCATTTTTGCCATTAGATATTGAACAATCACCAAAGAACTTCATAATCTCGTCCACGGTAGTGGACCAGGGTAAGCCACGCATTTTAACAACGTATCCTTCGTCGTCATGATCTGCACTACCGCTCGACATGATTCTAATAAAACTTTGTTCTCAATAAAATCTGTAAATAGAAATATAAAATATAGTATTCTATTTTTGTTTCACAACTAGTACAACAGAATGATAAAACCGATTAAAAAATAAATCAGACATACGACAGATGCTTTCGCCGCGATCGAGTTTCCGAAACATGAACGTAACGCATCATGTTTTGTCGACATCTTGGAACCAATGTTCTTACGTTATAAACAATATGTCTGATAATTATAGAAAAGAACAAAAGATGGACAAAATACTGCTGATGAGAAATTTTATGCCCGCATTTTCGACCCTTTTAGTTAAATTTTCAGAATAACTGGCAGAGAAACAAAAAAAACGAAATAAGGTTAAAAAAGAAAATGGTGTGACTGTTTCTGATCACAAGAGCACTCATCTAATAAATCACGGCGTTCACGCATTAATGTTTAATTGGCAGGGAAAATCACATTCTGCGATATGTGTTCAAACAATTATTATTATATATCATAATCGCCGCACGTTTAGTAATGAAATAAAAAATCGACAAAACATTTCCTGCAAACTCAATGGGAAAATGCTCACCACGATGGGACGCGATAACATTCCGGCTTGTGATGTCAAGTATATGCTCGATTTATCATAACAAAAAAAAATACCTTTATGTCTGTCTTTGAACTCGAATTTATTCCGCAACGAGCGAAATGTATATCAGCAATCACCAAGATATCTGCTATTAGTTTGGAAACTAGCTTCCACACGATCACACACAAACTACGAACACCCGAATAGCAAAATGGCGCGCAATGGCGATGCGTTCAGTTCAGCGCGGCTAGATCTTAAACCAACAAAAATATCTAGATGAGACTCACAATAGTATACAAGAGAAGCTGAATATAAAGCAGATAACGGATCTGATTGGCTACGTCGTACCGTTACGTATACTATAGATTGAAGCGTATTAGAGTGAATAAGAGCATGTTGGGGCATGTGCCTAAACGTATAATAATAGACTGCGCATTCCCTGCCTCTGCCTTATTAAAAAAATGTCCTCACTTTAGAAAGAGACAGCTGATGTTGAATACAGTATCTCATCTTTGTCCAAGAAGTAGGAGGGAGAGAAAGAAATCTTCGTTGATTGGTAGATATTGATTGATAGAGAGAGAAAAAAAGAGAGAAAGAGAGAGCTACTGTTCAAAACATGTTGCCTCTTTTTAAAGTGAAGACAACTTTTCAGTCAAACGCGCAGTCTATTTATTATACGTCTATGAACATGTGACGCGAACAAACCTTCTTTCTCTCTCAGTTCGGGTCTATTAGACAAATCCTCACTCGATCCAGTGAAAGTTTCATTTGAATTCGACGAATAGAATTGTCGAATTCACATAAAAGTTTTCATTTTTCACGTTTCCGCTCCTAGGGAAAAATTACATGATCGATGCCCTGATCGAGCATCATTATGAAAAGGTACCTTAAGTCTAATTTTACGCCGCTCTTATATGACCACGTTTCCATTGTATGACCGTGACTTTAGTCGAATCGACGTGACGTCCGTTCGAGAGAGAAAGAGCCAGCGCGAGTGAAACCGGACGGATCGTAGACGGACGATACAGCGGGTGATCTGTGTTCGACGAGTGACTCGTCTCCACGGCACGGCGGCAGCGTTTGTACGCGATAAAGACAGCGAGAATATCGCCAGGAGACGATCGCGCGCGAGTGCGGCGACCGGCTGACTGGCACGTCCTCGTCGACGTCGTCGTCATTGCCGTTGTCGTCGACGGACAAACGTCGTCCTCGCCGTCGTCGTTTCGTTACGCCTCTACTGAAGCGAGGACGCGCGACCGAGCGGAACAGGCGAGAACAGGCCCAGCGGAGCGACTTGGCTACGAGTGAAACAAACTCATCGCCACGATGAGCTTTCTATTGTGAGTGCTTTTTCGCTTCGCGAATTTCGCACCCCGACACTTACTCTCATCCGATCGATATGTCTCGAAGGAGACATAAGGACATGACAGGACGAAGTCGCAAAGGATTTTGTTTCTCCCTCCCATTCAAAACATTTCGTTACAACTGACGAAAAGTTCTTTTTGTCGTTCCAAAGCTTGCTTCTTTGCTCCGTTATCTGAGGATGCCCTTTTTTTTTACTAGCCAATTTAACGATCGAGTTTGTCTACATGACGATAAATTCAACGTGGGGGAGACGACGCGATCCGCCGGCGGATCGATCGTGGATAAAAATAGCGTGCGTGGAAGCTTTTTGCGTGTCTTCCCGCAGGACATACCGTATTTCTCGAACGTGAGGATTATCGCTTGGTTACAGTGCGTAATCTATGAATCATCCGTCTCGGTGGCCGCGCCTTACGTCTCGTCATCGAGAGTTTCACGCCGTCGAGATCGCAACGCACCGCTTACTGTGACATTCGCAATAGACAACGCCGTCACTTCCGTGTGCGCGCGATCACGATCAGCTGAGCGTCGCGTCTGAGCGCGTCTCCAATAGGTCTGTTTTTTCAGCTACATCTCACATTGTCTTCCATGTGCATGATGAATCGGATAAACCATGCATTTTTATGTTTTCTTCTGAAAAAACATCAGAAAAGATATGAAAAATTTTGAGAGGTAGTGTAATAATAAAAATGTAGCTGAAAAAACAGTGTTTTTTTTAATTAATTTCGTTTCACAAGGTTGGTACTTTCACAAGGAGGTACTTTCCTCCACACAAGTAAACTCATAAAAATTAAAAATAAAAAAATTTTTAATGTAAATTTATTAAAATAAACTATTGGAATTAGATATTGTTGATACTTTGTTATTTACTGTTTATATTTTCTTAAATGAATAAATATTATGAATAAATATTAAAGGAAATAATTCTTGCTATTTCACTAAATTTACATTTAGTGCTCAAAACAAGAAGAGAAAACATGTTATATAAGTGTTCACAAATATCACAAAATAATTTAGATTGTAGCGACAAGTGAAAGTTATAACACACAAATAAAATAATTTAGTCTTTATAATCTTTTAATTTCTTTTTGTTTTTCTCTTTTAAGTGGGAGCAGGTCTTCTAAGACCTTTAAACCAAAGAAAAACATACCGGAGGGCACTCACCAATATGATCTGATGAAACATGCTGCTGCTACATTAGGCTCCGGGAATTTACGACTGGCTGTTATGCTTCCGGAAGGAGAAGACTTGAACGAATGGGTGGCTGTTAATAGTTAGTGAAAACATCTACTTTACATACTCATGATTTTTTTTATATCAACTAAATTCTGTTTTGTCTTCCCTTTAGCTGTCGATTTTTTCAATCAAATCAACATGTTGTACGGCACTATCACAGAATTTTGCACGGAGGAAAGTTGTCCTATCATGTCAGCTGGACCAAAGTACGAGTATCATTGGGCTGACGGCCACACTGTGAAGAAGCCCATCAAGTGCTCGGCACCCAAATACATAGACTATTTAATGACTTGGGTGCAGGATCAGTTGGACGATGAGACTTTATTTCCATCCAAAATTGGTAATTATTTTATTTTCTCTATAACTATCAATAATTTTAAGTTCTCGCAAAAACTAATCTCGATATTGATTTTTCTCACAGGAGTTCCTTTCCCCAAAAATTTCTTATCGATTGCAAAAACTATTCTGAAGCGATTATTCAGAGTATACGCTCATATCTATCATCAGCATTTTAGTGAAGTTGTGCAACTCGGCGAAGAGGCACACTTAAACACGTCGTTCAAGCATTTTATATTCTTCGTTCAGGTATATAATCATATCTATATCCCACAAAAAGCTTAAGAAAAGATAAAAAATATAATGATAACATAAAAGTTAGTAAAGTTTCACGGATATACTAATATTAAATATAGCAATTTTTAAATATACATTATTTAAATTTAAAAAGTATATATTATTGAAGTTTAATTAAAATTTGAAGAGATTGCAAGTTTTTTAAGAACAAAATGTACTTAAATCTCTTTTTAAGAAAAGATTTGTGTAAGAAGCAATCTTTTATTAGTCTTTAATTAATTTCTAATTTCATGTTGCAGGAGTTTAATTTGATCGAGAGAAGAGAGCTGGCACCCTTGCAGGAATTGATAGAGAAACTGACTGCGAAAGACGCGCGATGAGTCCACCTGTCGCCTATGAACCACCCGTCTCCCCCCCAAAACTTCTCCAAAGAATCTCTCAACTACATCATCTTTGCTAATCCACACATGTAACTGTATTTAAATGATCTACTGATTATTAACTCCACGATCTGTCTCTGTCTCGAAACAAGAACCGGCGGTGGTTCAGAAACAAATGACTGATAATGCGAGCCTGCGACATTTTTTCCGAAATCTCATTATTTCGATGGCACGTGAATGTATTTTGTATACTTATTGAGTCGAGAATAATGACAGCAGTCCTGAGACAGCGCGTTCGAAACTTTGGAAAACTTTTTCAAACAAATGGTATATTTATGTGTCCTTTATTGTCCATTGTAATTTATTGCATCTTATCAATCGCACCGCAGATATGTGAAGAAAGAAAGATAATCGAACAGTTCGAGAGCGCGTCTCGGTACAAAGTGTCGATGCATATAAAAAAAAGCGATTCTTAAATGAATTCTTTTTTTTTTTTTTTTTTTTTTTTTCAAGATTAATGCTCGCGGATTTCGCAATTTTGTTATTATTTGTCGCTATTATCAGATGTAAAAATACTGTTGTTTTATGCTATTATACATGAATTTAGAGATTACGTTTCGTACGGCTATGTGCGAGTGCAACGGCATATCGTAAATTTTGTATGGTAATAATGTGTAATGTTAAATTTAAGAATAGTTTTAAAAATGATTCTTTCCTATCATTTCGAGTTAAGTATTGCGGATTGTATTTTTTATTGAAGAGCTGCACTTTGTTAGCAATACATATTATATATTAATATTATATATAATACATATTATACATAACAAATTACATATAATATATATTATATATAATACATATTATATATACAAGCTGTTGAAAGAAAACAGAGTTAACGCGCAATGCTACGTATCGCTATTACTACATAATGGCTATTTTAAGATAGTCCTGTCAAGCGCTTATATAGACTTATTTATACGACTAGGATTTTTGTACGCGTTTTGTCCCCGTAGAGTGATACTTCCCGCTTAATCCGCTTTTCGAATACCGTAGTCAGGCCGCGTGCGTCGCCTTACTGCAATTTCTCGTCAATTTTCCGTTTCTTACGTCTCGAAGAAAGTCCGATATCCTTCATACTACCAATTGCTATCGAGCAGCAGTCTAATCGTCCACAAAGTTTAAATCGCGACGTCCAGCTTCACAAAAATGCTTTTATATAGTCGGTACTTAATAAAAGAATACTAACTGTGCAACTCTCGGTCTAATTATCGCGTCAGAAATTGCACAAGAGTCTTAAATATTAATAATCGATCAACGTCGCTGATTACTATTACTCGCATAAGGTGACGAACGTATCGAGTAATTTTGTCATTTTTTTCGGTAAACTACGTAAATCGTAACGTTATATGATAAATCTTTAGAGAAATTTCAAAGTGCTGAGAAAGTGATTTAAAAAGGAAATAATATTTTTTTTATTTTAGTAGACGCTAAGAATTTAATCGCGCGAACTTTGTGTGTGTGTGCGTGTGTGTGCACGCACGCACACACACACAAAACACATGTATATCGACGTATTTTATTATAACGACACAAAATAGTGGTTAACGACGTAAGGTGATAACGCTGATATCGCTAGTATCGTCGCCGGAAAAGAGAGGCGGCGCATATACACGCCTGGATGTAGACATAAATAATAACGATAATAATAATAATAACGATAATGAATGATTATACTCGGTACTTAAGGAAGGGTGACAAAAAGCGGAGAGTGAGGAGCTCTCACACATAGTTGCGCGCATTCTTTGGGAATGGTATAATTTCGTGATCGCGATCGATGATAGTCTATTAGAAGACTATTTCGCGTTTTTGACGACACAAGTGTTACAAATGATTATTTTTCGTTTTATATACACTTCTACGAGCGTTAGCCATGTCGCGACGCTAACGCTATTATTTACCCGTGATGTTTAGACGCTTACCTTAGCGATGATTCCCTTCGTCGGAAAACACGTGTCCTTTTCCTTTCTCCTTTGAGCGACTTTTCGCGGCGTGAGTGCGCGCGTGTGCCTCAAACGCGACCGTCCAACACGGTCGTGCGAAACGCGACGATCCTCTCCGAGCAACTCGTTCTGAAATTCTAAAAAAAGTTTTGCAGAAGATTAGTGGAAGATTAAGAAGTTAACACTAGAAGAAGCGAATTCGCGAGGATAATCCTTCTCTAGCATTCGCAAGTTCTTTTATAGACATTTATTCAACATAAGTAGTTTTGAAAAAAATTTTTAATTTTTGTTCTTAGCTAGCCATTTCGAAGAAAAATAACATTTATCTTCAAAACAGTTATCTTTTGATAGTTCTTCATCTTCAGCTTTTTTAATATTAAAATTGCGCATACGTAAAATGCAATTATAAGTGAATCATTCAAAGATTGAACGCTCACGAGGTGATGACAAAAAAAAATTAGTAAAATGTTTAGATTCCGTGAATTGACCAAATTGTGAATACCAATACAACAATAACATGTTGTCAAGTCAAGTGCCCATTTTTACATGGGCCTATATGAATATTCTCGCGAAATCCTTTCGAGATAATTTTTTACGCGCCAGAAAAGACGATTGTTTTCAAATAAGGTTGTATTTCTTCGTTCGGAACGGCCTTTCGCGGAGAGTTCTCAGCGATCAACTGTCCGCTCGTCTGATAGTAACGCTAGTGATATATGTGCAATGTAAATAATATTTTTCACGATTAAAAATGAAAAGCCCTTGCGCCTTCGGCGCGTGAGCCGCGTCTAAAAATGTTTATAGTCCTGAATATAATCTTGTAATCTTTCTGTAATAAATATATCGTTCCGATTGTATTCGCTTTTTCTTTCTTTTTTTCTTTTCCATCGTAAATTAAAAGTGAATTTGAGAAGTAAATAATTTATTATTTAAAAAATTCA